TGCTCTACGTCTGAACCGCATCCTCTTCCCTAGTGCACCTGGTAGCTCATGTGGCTTAAAGCCTGCTAGCTAGTAGATTCGCAAATATCGTTCATGATGCTGAATATGCCTTGTTAATGAGAGCACGTTTTGTGTCTCCGATTTAGCCATGGATGTTCCCGTGCTGTCAATGGCAGACACTTTCTCCTGGCCTAGTTTTTTAAACTCTGAAAAGTACTTGGGTTTCTTTGGACTGAATCATCCTGTTTAGAAAAGCTCGCTCTCGCCCTCAGCCGTGTGTGAGCTTTGCTTCCTGGCGGGTGACGGCCGCCTGGATTTATTAGTGGCTCTTGAAAATTCATCAAGTTCCTTGGGCTAAAAATATTCAGAGTGTAGCTCCAGACGCTTAAAAATCAATTCACTGTTATTCCCCCACCACCACCATCTCCCCAGCTTCCACAACTGTGTCGGCTTCTTTTGCCTCTAAATCCAGTTTTTGTGTGAATTCATGCTCACTGAGAAAGGACTACTTTATCAGCTGAAGAGATCTGTGAGCTAGAGTCCACAGAGGGAGACAAAAATGAGAGCTGGCAAGAGAGAGGTATGTTTATTTTCTCCACAAGTAGTTTTTGAAACATCCAAATTCTGTTCCAAAGAAACGCTGTTACTAAAACGGGCACAACATCCATTTCCACTGACTGGTTGTAGCTTCTGTACCCCTGAAATAAATGGAATCCCCCCCCCCAATGGTTTAAAATTGTATCAGATCTGAGAAAGGAAGAAAAGAAGGCATAGGGGAAAGGGGGGGGGTGTTCAGCAGATTGTGTGTGTGGCATCCTGTGTCCATCTGTTCTTCCCCAAAATTTCACCCTTGCTGTGCTCCTAACCACAAGTCAACTTTTTTCTCTCCAACCAATGAAGGCTTAAGACAATTGCTGAAGTGCGTCAAGATTACAAGCTGTTCCCTGAATTTCACTTTCCTCTGTGTGGTTTAGCAATATGTGAGCACATGGAACAAAATCTAGGTAACGGAGTAGAGATGTAAAATTTCCGGAAATTTTGAAGCTCAGGAAAAAAACCGTTTTTTTTTCCAGTTTTTTTCGGGGGGAAATGGAAATTTTCAGAAAAATTGAAAAAAATGCTACATTAGCATTTCTTTTGTCTTTTCTAGATTGAAAGTCATTCTGTTACTTTAGGAACATAAAATATGACTATGGACATTTTTACTTGGCATGAAATTATCACAACTAGCATATTAAAAATATAGTGTATCCAAACAATTATCACAAACAGAATAGCCTCCCACATGCAAAAACAAAACTGAAACTTTTTTATTTTCTTCTGACAATCGCACCTCCTAAAGGAAGAAATGCATCTTGTTCTTGCATTGGAGAGTTCAGTTTGTAACCTAGGACTTGCTTATCCTCAGTGCACAGAAATTAGATCAATCTGATACCATATATATATATATATATTAGAAATGATTTGGAAAATATTTGAACACCTTGTCTTAAAATATTTTATTCATCATGTTAAAATGAAACGTTCCATAATCAATTTTTTTTCTTTTCTTTTTTCAATTTTTCGGGAAAAAAAAGGGCTTTAGGAAAAAAACGGGGGGGGGAACGGTTTTCCCCCGAATTTTTCTGTTTTTTTCCTGGGCCTTCACATTTCTATAACGGAGTGGCTGGCTGTAGCACTTGGAACCAGTGTTGAGATGGGGTCGAGTTGAGAAACTCTGAAATGGCTTGGATAAGCAAAGGGTTTCTCCGCAGCACACCAATAAACCCTTGCGAACATGGCACTGCCGTGGACACACCTGAAAAATATTTCCTTTGCATCTCAGAAAAGCTATTTTAAGTTTTCCTGTGAACTCTGCAGCTTGAAAAAATATCTGCGATGAGAAAAGCTGAATTCTGTAACCTGCATAAACTAGTATTTGTACAATTCTCGTTCTGCCAGGCCTTCTGGGAAGCTAGCCATGCAGGGCACAGAAACCCAGGAAATTTATTGTTATTGTTTTAGTTTCAGATACTTCACTGGACACTTTCTGCACACCTTGAAGCCTAAACGTCAAAACCACTAAGGACTAGAAACTTAGATGAAAGCCAAGATTCTCAAGAAGTCAAATCAAATCAAATTTACTATTATGGTTCGCGACCAGCACAAGATCAGTTACAATCTCAAGAAGTCAGTTTCCGCAGTTTGTGTGCTAGAAAGTGCCGCCAATTCGTGGCTGACTTGTGACCCTCGTGGAGTTCTCAAGGCGAGAGAGAAGCAGAGGCAATTTGCCATGGCCTGTCACTGCATGGCAACTTTGGCATTCCTTGGTGATCTCCCAGCCAAGTACCAACCAGGGCTGCCCCTGCTTAGCTTCCGAGACCGGGGCTATTTGGGGCTTTCCAGGGCAGGAGCTGTCCTTTTTTTCCTACCAGGAATCATGCTAATGTGCCCTGCCTTGCTTCTGAATTGCTTGTCTTGTATCTATGCCTTGGACGTGTCTCCACATGTTTATAGCAGATCCAGAGAAAAATCTCCTGCAGCTGTTCCCTGCCCTGAGGTTCCCTGTAATCACACTGTCCTGTCTTTGGAAGAGGCTTCTTCATACTGCAGTAAAGCTGCATTTGCCCTTATTTTCTTACTAAGGAGTCATGCATTTGGGAACCATTTCCTTCTCCCAGCCAGATCTCTCCACGAAAAGCGCATTGTTGGGTAGTTACAAGAGCAGTGAAATGGAAATTAAGGCCTAGCGCTCTGGCATGTATCAAAGGGTGTGTCTATTTTGGCCTCAAGATTTACAGTTTTTTAGAGCAGTTTTCCATTACAGTCGACTTTCACCCGTTTCCATGGGCATTAAAGCTAAACTCTGGAGTAGCTGTTTATACAGTACGCATGTCTGTCTCCCTCCTTCGTACTAAGTGCTGATATTTTGCGGGGAGGGAGGGGTAAAAATGGAATAAATAAATTTATGGAGGGCAGAGTGAGACGGGCTTAATGCTGCAAGGGATCTGCAGCAGCCCACATCAGCTGTGTGGACAGGCAGGTAACCCGCCTGGCTGCTCTCCGGTGTGGGAAGCCTTGGGAGAGGGTGGGAGGAACTGGTGCCGTTTCATGCCCTATATCAGGAATGTGCCAACGTTCTGTCACGTTTTAGACCAGCTCTGAGGTTTAGACTTGCATACAGAGTGAACACGTGAATCGAGATAGATCTAGGTAGCCAGCCGTGTTGGTCTGAAGCACTAGAACAAATTTAGAGTCCGGTGGCACCTTTAAGACCAACAAAGGTTTATTCAAGGAATGAGCTTTCGTGTGTTGGTCTTAAAGGTGCCGCTGGACTCTAAATGTGAATCAAGAGTCCTTATCCTCTTAGTGGAATGAGCAAAGGATGGATTCAGAGAAGATGGAGATACCAGGTGGACTAGGAAGTTAAAATGTGCACATGAAGCTGCCTTACACTTGAGTCTGACCCCTTAGTGTCTCAAAGTGAGTCTTGTCTACTCAGATTAGTAGCGGCTCTCCAAGGTCTCGGGCAGAGGTCTTTCACACCACCTAACTGCCGGGCCCTTTGTAACTGGAGATACCAGGAATAATAGAACCATGGAGTTGGAAGGGACCTCCAGGGTCATCAAGTCCAACCCCCTGCATAATGCAGGAAATCCCCAAATATCTCTCCCCCACACACACCCGCAGTGACCCCTGTTCCATGCCCAGAACAACTGCAAAAAAACCTCCAGGATCCCCGGCCAAACTGGCCTGGAGGAAATTGCTTCCTGACCCCAAAGTGGCGATCAGCATTTCCCTGGGCGGTTAAGAAAGGGCCACAAGAACGAAGCACTGAGGCAACTCTTCCTGCCCTCCCTCTCAGGATCTGCCTCAATTCACAGAATCAGCATTGCTGTCAGATGGCCATCTAGCCTCCGTTTGAGAACCTCCAAAGGAGGAGAGCCCACCACCTCCCAAGGAAGCCTGCTCCACTGAGGAACCGCTCTGTCAGGAAGTTTTTCTAATGTTTAGCCGAAAACTCTTGATTTAATTTCAACCCGTCGGTTCTGGTCTGACCTTGTGGGGCAACAGAAAACAGCTCCGCACCATCCTCGGTATGACAGCCCTTCAAGTACTTGAATCGAACATGGGACCTTCTGCACGCCAAGCAGATGCTCTACCACTGAGGCACAGCCCCCAAGATGGCTCCAAGAGCAAGCGGGGCTAGGCCCAGTGGTGTTGCAAAACAGCACTGCAGAACGCCATGTGGCCCAGAACTTGTTGGCGGTGCCAGCAATGCGGGACTGCACACCTGTGACCCCTACAGATCTGTGGGTTGGCTAACCCTAGCTCCTGGCATCTCATCAGGACTTCACCATGTAAGTTCAATGGCTGGTCCACCTCCCAATAGCCAACCGAGGCTCAGGAGAAGTTTCAGCTGGACCTCATAATGCCTTGGCCTGTGCGTGGGTGGGGGGAAGCATCCCCAAACCTCCCCCTACCCTTTAAGCAGCTGCATTTGGTCTTCTTGAAAGCACCAACTCCTTGTCTGCTCCAGAAGTGACTGCTTTGGCCTGCTTAGCCAGTGCAGGAAAGCTACTCAGAGAGAAGATCTACAGGAAGTTAGCATCTTCTCTTCCTCCTTTTCCCACTCCTATGTGGAGAGAGAGAGATTGGGCTTATACACCGCCCTTCACTACCCAAAGGAGTCTTCGAGCGGCTTGCAAACTCCCTTCCCTTCCCCTCCCCACAACAGACACCCTGTGAGGGAGGTGGGGCTGAGAGAGCTCTTGACAGAAACTGCTGTTTTTCAAGGCCGCTCTTATCAGAACTACGGCTTGCCCAAGGTCATCCAGCTAGGTGCAAGTGGAGGAAAGGGAATCAAACCCGGTTCTCCCAGATTAGAGTCCGCACACTTAACCACTACACCAAACTGGCTCTGGGGCAAGGGGTGTGAGCCCTCTTTCCAAAAAAACAACCCTTCCGTGCCCTTGGACGATACTTCTAAATGCTGGTAGATCTTCAAGATCAATCCGTGTTCTATTAAAAACACACACACACACACACACAGAGGCAGGTGGCTGCAATGTATGTAAACACAGACTTGATAGGCAGGCCCCGTTATGGCGAAAGAGGGGTTTTAATAAACCGCCTCTTAAACAATTAGTTTCAGTTTTTCGAAGCATGGTGTGAGCCTCCTCTTCAGCCAGAAATGACTGAAAAGAGGCAATGAGAAACAAACCAGAGACAACAGTGGTAAATCTGATTGTTTAAACAGTGGTTTGGCCCGATGGCACAGAAACAGAAGTGCGGTAGGGTGGTATCCCATTTTAACAACCAAAAGGAATTGTGTTTGTGAGAAAGAGATGCAGGACAGCTGATAGACACCCACTTTTGCTGTTAGAAGGGTGGTAAACCCTCATTTTTTCTTTTCTACCTGATTGGGACAGAACTGTGTTTAAATACATGGCAGTGGCGCTGCCTGTCTTGCTGGGCCTCGGGAGTCCTATTTCTCCTCAGCATCTTTTTTTCGAGTTCCGTTCCGCCCACTTACGAGCCTCTTCGCAACTCTTTTCTGGCGTGAGAAGTCATTCACCTGGCAAGATGACCGCTTTTGTTTTAGGGGCATGCGAGGTGGGCGGGTGGCCAGCCCCCAAAACGGATACTGAGACGCCTGTCGCCGATCCACGCGACGAGCCGTTGACAGAAACGGTGGTGTTGGAGGCGTGGGCAGCCACTCCTGACGCTTGCGTTTTGAAGTAAACGATATAAAACACGGGTAAAACAATCCCTACCAAAAGCATCACAATGACAGCGTTCCACCACTGGATCCCACAGTCTGCTCCACTGCTGGGCTCTTTCGGCTCTGGAGGCGACCCGTTTGGCGTTTCAATGTAATAGTCTGGGCTGAAGCAAGTTTCGGCCTGCGCCGCTTCTTCAATATTCTGGTCAATCCCTCGGAAATACTGATCGATTTGCTCGCCGTCTGCAGAGATGCTCCCTGCGCCTGAAGATCCAGGCAGCTCAGTGGGTAGCAAGCCAGAGCTCTGTGGAGCCAAAGACATTTCGATTGTCTCAGTTAAAATGCCGTTGACCTTAACGGGAATCTTGATTGATTTTAGAGCGTACAAGTCCTGCTCCCGGATGAAGTTGTTGATCCTCTTGATATCTGCAACCTGAAGAATTTAGAAAATGGAAAAATCCATTACCGGAGTAAGTGCTTTCTCCCCACATTGTATAGAAATGGCACCACCATCACCCCAAGTAAGATAGGGCGATGTACAGCGTCTGTCGCCGTGGAGACGTCTGGAGCTCTCCAAGGGTATTCCGGGATTCTTTCCGGAACTTTCAACTTCTCATAAACAATCAGGGCTCTAGCCCTCTTACTCAAGGCGATACAGAAAAATATGTGGCCGTTATTCTACTGAAATACTCAGCGAGTAGCAATCATGTTCTCGCCGTCTAGTAATCTAGCAAACAATGGCAAAGGCCAAAGGGTTACTTCCAGACACCTGAAAGGGCTGAAAAGTGAAAGGGCTGAAGTTTTATTCAGGCTCAACCACCGGTTTACAATCCCACACAACCATTCCCTGTGCCAATCCGCCTCTGCAGAGACAGTTTAATATTGACCACATAATACATGCCATTTCTGAATTGTGGCCCAAAGTTTACTTTCAGGATCTTACTGTGCACTGATTTGGGGGACGTTTTGCATTGGTGTGCAGAATTACTATAATGAAGTTGACCAACTGAAACAATGTGTAGTTTTGCTAGTGCTCACGGCGATTTTTAGAGAGCTGTCTTCACTTCTGCGCACCGCATGTTTAGCTAAACGCCTGCCAAATTCTAGTCACCTCCTATAGGGAGAATCGAAAACCCCACCAACTTCTAATTCTGAGGATGTTAGACTTTCTTCCACCTCTTGAATACTGTTCTTCAATATATTTCACATTTTAATTTAAACACCTAGTGATGATTTAATGGCTTTTTTTAAAAAAACGGGGAGCATAAACTCCTCCAAAATTTGGGGAAACTGCGTGCAATTTCCCTCCCTAAAAACAGCTCACATTCAAACATGCCCTCGCATGAGCAAAAAACAAAATTGCTCATAAAAGACATGTGGGGAGAGAGGCTCTGATTTTCCCACGGATTTCCCCCTTCCAATTGCAGCTCCCACCCCCCCCCACCCCAATATCATACATGGTTCCTGGAGCTCCTCCAACCTCCATGAGCAGTTTTTCCAGTTCAGGGTGTCACTACACAAACTGGGGAGACAAGAGCTCCCTTAAGGAGAGCTCTTGCTAGTGTCCCTTAGGATCTAACTCATTGGCTGGGGTGGGGTGGGTGTTGAATATAGCAGGACATTCAATTCTCCAAAAATCTGAGCCTTCCTTTCCCTTTAAATCCATCAAATGACTAGATGAAGCAGGACATTCAATTCTCCAAAAATCTGAGCCTTCCTTTCCCTTTAAATCCATCCGATGACTAGATTTATTTATTTTTTATTTATTTACATTAGACTTGATATCCCGCTGTTGTCCCATGGCTAGGGTCTCAGAGCGGCTTACAGGGGTTCTGGTGCTAATCACCTGTGTTCCTAGCTAGGGTCACAATGTATGAAGGGGGGGTGGGACAACCTACCGGCAAAATTTGGGGAAAGCAGGACATTCAATTCTCCAAAAATCAAAGCAGGACATTCAATTCTCCAAAAATCAAAGCAGGACATTCAATTCTCCAAAAATCTGAGCCTTCCTTTCCCTTTAAATTCATCAGATGACTAGATGAAGCGGCCTTATACGGAATCAGATCACCAGAGCGTCAAGGTCAGCGTTGTCTACTCAGACCGGCCGCGGCTCTCCAGGGCCTCAGTTCTTTCGCACCCCCCTTGAACATACATGAGCGGCCTTCTACCGAATCAGACCCTTTGTCTCTCAAGGTCAGTATTGCCTACTCAGACTGGCAGCAGCTCTCCCAAGTTCTCTGGCCGAGGTCTTCCACATCGGCAAGTGACCGTGATCTTTCCGCTGGAGAGGCTGGGGACTGGACCTGGAACCTTCTGCATACGAAGCAGAGGCTCTTCTGTCCAAACCACGTACCCCCAATCCAGGGCTCTTTTTGTAGAAAAAGCCAAGCAGGAACTCATTAGCATAATAGGCCACACTCAACAGCAAAACTCATTAGCCTATTAGGCCACACCCTGCCAGCACCACTCATTAGCACATTAGGCCACACCCCCATGTTACCAGAAGTGTGGCCATCCAGCCACACCCACCTTTCCCTTCTTATTCTGTTTACCTTGTTTGTTGTCAAAACCCAGGGCTTTTTTTGTAGCAGGAACCCCTTTGCATGTTAGGCCACACACCCCAAATGTAGCCAATCCGAATGAGTTCTTGCTGTTGGGTGTGGCCTATTATGCTAATGAGTTCCTGCTGGGCGGGGCCAACTCAGGAGCCAGCCGGAACTCCGTTCCTGAGCATTCCTACCCAAAAACAGCCCTGCCCCAATCTTCCAAAAGAAGACAAATGGTGTTTAGGAAACCTTGCTCTCCCAGCTGACACAGCAGTCTAGTTGTCAGGGCGCACCAAGAGGAAGGCTTCCTCGGCCGTCTTTCAGAAGGTGTTCCGAAGCCCACCCTGGAATTGGTCTAACTGACTTCAACTGTACTTCAGTATAACTAGTCCCAAGCCGGTCGCTTTGTGGGATTGCTTTTGTTGTTTCTGGCACTGGAAAGCTTTATGATGAAACTCATTAACAGGAGACGCGTGCCCCTAAAGTGCAGTCCAGCAACTGTGGGGCTGAGCGAGAAATGAGCAAAAGGGGACAGAAGAAACAGAAGCCCGAGTACACACAGAGATGGAGTTGGCCATCCCTCCCAAGTCAAACCTCCATACGGTCTAGGTGGTCTCTCCCATGGTGCTCATTAGGGGTTGCTGTTTGGGACCCCCAGGCTGAGACAGCCGCTCCCTGCCAACCCAAGCAGGGTAGGAGCTCTGCAGTTGGCTTGCTGCATTAAACCCAGCGTCCATCTAGCCTCGTTTTCTGTTTCCAACAGAAGCCCAACAAAATGCTTCTGAGTTCTCAAGTAGGGCAGCAAGCTACCAGCCCTCCCCTCCCCCCCCAGTTATTTAAAAACTGCCCCTGAACATGAATTCTACTGGCTAATTCTATTAATGAACATCTTCAATGAAGCCTGATTCGCCTTTGCCTCGGAACACAGAGGTCATTTGCATGTGCGGCCTCACTGGCCTTTCCCTCTAACATTCTAAACAGTTTGCTCTTCCTCCCCCCCCCCAAAATAAATTTCCCCTTAGTGTCTGTTGGGGGAAACCATGGTTGCAAATCTCCAGGTGAGGGCTGAAGATCACTCAGAATTACAACTGCTTTCCAGATGGCAGAGATCAGTTCCCCTGGAGAAAATGGTGGACTCTGTGTCCTTATATGCTGCTGAGGTGGCCCCCGTATGACAGCCAATGTGACGTAGCAGTCAGGGCTTCCTTCAGCTGTTAAAACTGATGTCCAGTTGACCCAGATCAGTTCTCTTGGAGACAATGGCTGCTTTGGGCAGTAGATTCTATGGCATTATACCCTGCTGAGGTCCCTCCCCACCCAAAATCCTGCCCTCCCCAGGCTCTACCCCCCAAATCTACAGGTATTTCCCAACCCAGAGTTGGCAACCGTGTAATTGGCTATGGTACCACTTTCCAGACCCTTGGAACCCAGAAAACATGGCACTGGAGGAGGTGCTTTTCTACCTTAGCTGTGACTGCATAGCCCCAAATTAACATAAGCCAACCTCCAGGCGGCACCTGGAGATCTCCAGCTATTAAAACTGATGTCCAGATGACCCAGATCAGTTCTCCTGGAGACAATGGCTGCTTTGGGCAGTGGATTCTATGGCATTATACCCTGCTGAGGACCCTCCCCACCCAAAATCCTGCCCTCCCCAGGCTCTACCCCGCAAATCTACAGGTATTTCCCAACCCAGAGTTGGCAACCGTGTAATCGGCAATGGAACTACTTTCCAGACCCTTGGAACCCAGAAAACATGGCACAGGAGGAGGTGCTTTTCTACCTTAGCTGTGACTGCATAACACCCTCCTCCCCCTCAAAAAATAAGTCAGAGGTGGAGAGAACCATCTCTGTTACCATGAGGCTGTCCTCCCATTCTACCCACTTGGGGCAGCAAAAGGACTCGAGACAGCCCTGCCTTATAGCTAAGCAGAAGGAAGTGGTGGCGGCTACAAGCATGGACAGCTTCAAAAGGGAATTAGATAAGCATATGGAGCAGAGGTCCATCAGTGGCTGTTAGCCACAAGGTATAGATAGGGGCTCTGGGGCAAGTGATGCTCTGTCTTCTTGGTGCTTGGGGGGGGGTCAACAGTGGGAGGGCTTCTAATGTCCTGGCCCCACTGGTGGACCTCCTGATGGCACCTGGTATTTCTGGCCACTGTGTGACACAGAGTGTTGGACTGGATGGGCCTTTGGCCTGATCCAACATTGGCGTCTCTTACGTTCTTATGTAAAGAAACATGGCTTGCCTCCCTCCGTTTTCCGCTTCCCTCTGCCGCCCCACCAGCCACAGTCGGGACACTCATCTGCAGCTTCCTTCTAGATCCCGTTGTATTTCTTCCCAAAACTCCTAGTCACCTATAATTCAGATTTCCCCAAAACTTGCACTTTAAAAATATCCAAAACCCTTAAAGTCTCCAGACATTTTACATCTCTCGCTCTGACTGATTTTTCATATTGTTCTCACTAAATTTCAAACTGGGGTGTGGGGGGTTTTTTGTTCCTCTCACTGTTTTTTGCTTTTGTCCCTCCCACCAATGACAGTCCTTTGTTTTTTTTAATTCTTTGAGTGCTTGGTCATCTGAAGGGACTGGTGACACCTCGACTGCACAAAGATCTAGGTCACGGCACCTGGGAGTGGCTTTTCCCACTGAGTCCCAGCCCTGTGACCAGACGCTGTCTTGCTGCGGGTGAACCGGACAAACCAGAGTGGCTTCCCTGAGTCTGTAACGCCCTGAACGTTTAGGCCTGTTCAGTCTGTGGCTGAAAACAGAGGCAAAGCTGCTTCTTACTTGACAGCCGTACTGGAGGGCCAGCTTATTCAAACTGTCGTCTTCGGCCACTTCTCTTTCCAGCAGCACCACATCTCCGGCTTTATGGCGGCCAGCGTCGCTCCTCTGTGGTTCTCTCCCCCTGGCTCGCAGTTCCATGACGTCCAGCTCCTCCTCTGAGGAGTCCTCCAGATCGGATGGCCCGTTTCTGAACCAGGCCACTTGGCTACCTGGGAATCTTCGGGTGGCGGCGGGGGCTTGAAAGGGCCTTGCCAAGCGCTCATTTAGCCTCATTGTTTACGCCGGCCTCTGCAAGAGAAAACGGCTTGTTGTTTTTTCTATTGCTCATAAAAACTTAGCGGTAACTGGACATTGCAAGAATAGTCAAATCAGACTGAACACACCTGTCCTGGCTAGGCAAGCTGGTTTACTGTGCGACCTAAAACTCCTCAATACCCATCGTGTACACTTTCCTGTACGTTTCGCTGGATGTTTTCAAGCAGAGGCTGGATGACCCTCTTTCAGGTATGTTGTAGGTATGTAGGGCTATCTTTCGGCTATGCTCCTGCAGAGTGCAGGGGGTTGGACTAGATGACCTGCAAGATCCCTTCCAACTCTAACATTCTATGATTGTATAGCTCAGCCCATGATCTCTCCTCTGTTCATCATTTCTAGCATTCAGTGTACTAAAAAGCCATTTCTCTTACTGGCATTTTATTTGGCTTAACCTAATACAAGTGGCTCAAGTGGTTAAGACGCTGAACTGCAGGCTGTGGAAGGTCGGTAGTTCAGCAGTTCGAGACCCGAGTGTGCCGCATGAAGGAGTGAGCTCCCGTCTCTAGTTCCAGCTCCTGCCAACCTAGCAGTTCGAAAGCAAGAAATTGCAAGTAGATAAATAGGTACCACTTCGGTGGGAAGGTAACAGCGTTCCGTGCGCCTTGGTGTTTAGTCATGCCAGCCACATGACCACGGAAACGTCTTCGGACAGCGCTGGCTCTTCGGCTTTGAAACGGAGATGAGCACTGCAACCCTAGAGTCGGATTCGACTGGCTTTCAAGCAAGGGAACCTTTACCTTTTTTTAATACAATGTTGTAATGCTGATTTTAGGAGCTGCGGTGGCTCAAGTGGTTAAGACGCTGAACTGCAGGCTGTGGAAGGTCGGTAGTTCAGCAGTTCGAGACCCGAGTGTGCCGCATGAAGGAGTGAGCTCCCGTCTCTAGTTCCAGCTCCTGCCAACCTAGCAGTTCGAAAGCAAGAAACTGCAAGTAGATAAATAGGTACCACTTCGGTGGGAAGGTAACAGCGTTCCGTGCGCCTTGGCGTTTAGTCATGTCGGCCACATGACCACGGAAATGTCTTCGGACAGCGCTGGCTCTTCGGCTTTGAAACAGACATGAGCACCGCAACCCTAGAGTCGGATTCGACTGGCTTTCAAGCAAGGGAAACCTTTACGTTTTTAATGCTGTTTTTGGAAGCTAAGCAGGGTCGGCCCTGGATGCTGCTTGGATGGGAGATCACCGAGGAAGACCAGGGTTGCTACGCAGAGGCAGGCAATGGCGAAGCCACCTCTGAAGGTCTCTTTCCTTGAAAACCCTACGAGGGGTCGCCATAAGACTGCCGCCACTTGACATGGGAAACTACTGCAACTTACCAGCAGGGTAAACCCACCCCACTTGCTTCCCTTTCCCCCTTTGTCTCAAATCGTATCCTACCAATGTGTGTAAAACGGCCTTTCGGCAAAGTATTCTCAAAGTACTGTTTGGTTGGTTGGTTCAATTTCTATCCCACCTTCCCCACAAGTGGGCTCAGGGTGGGTTACAACATTCATGTAAAACAATACAATCAAGATTAAAACTGCAAACTTAACCCTTAAATGATGGTGGCCAGACCACATCACAATGGTGTTAAACAATTAGAAGCAGAAAGGGCTAAATCCCATAAGGGATTCCGGATTGTAAGTGCCCCTACCTTGCATAAACCAAGGCGATTATCATTCTGCGTCCTCGAAAACTGAAGACCATGATCGATGATACAGATGGTAACAGAGTGGCAACAGGAGAGGCCAGATGATATTTGATGTCTGCTACCAAACGTCTGGCGGAAGAGCTCCATCTTGCAGGCCCTGCGGAACTGTAAAAAGTCCCTCAGGGACCTGATCCAGTTTGGTGTCGTGAGAGCCAGTTTGGTGTCGTGGTTAAGTGCGCGGACTCTAATCTGGGACAACCGGGTTTGATTCCCCACTCCTCCACTTGCACCTGGCTGGATGACCTTGGGCAAGCCATAACTCCGGCACAGCAGTTTCTGTCAAGAGTTCTCTCAGCCCCACCGACCTCACAGGGTGTCTGTTGTGGGGAGGGGAAGGGGAAGGAGTTTCTAAGCCGCTCTGAGACTCCCCTGGGTAGTGAAGGGCGGGGTATAAATCCAATCTCTTCCTCTTCTTCATCTCTAGTGGGAGTTCATTCCACCAGGTTGGGGCCAGGGCTGAAAAGGCCCCGGTTGAGGCCAGATGGATGTCTTTTGGGCCGGGGAACACCAGTAAATGCTGATCTAAGGAGTGCAAGGTTCAAAGGGGCACATATGGGGAGAGGGGGTCCCGTAACGATGTTGGTCCCTGGCTGCTCAAGGCCTTAAAGGTAAGCACCAGCGCCTTGAAACAGACCCAGAATTCTATCGGCAGCCAGTGCAGTTCGTGGAGCACAGGCTGAAGGTGTGCCCGCAAAGACATCACGGTCTGCACACGTGCCGCTGCATTCTGCACCAGCTGCAATCTCCAGATCTGATACAAGGGCAGTCCCGCATAGAGCAAGTTACAGTAGTCCAATTGGGAAGAGATTGTTGCACGGATCCCTGTAGCCAAGTCGCGGGTGGAAAGATGTGGAACCAGCTGCCGCACCTGCAGTAGGTGGGGAAAAGCTGATTTGGCAATTGCGGTGACCTGAGCCTCCACAAGGTAATGACGCATCCAGTATCACCCCCTTAGCCTTGCCTGTTACAAGGGTAATACCCTTTCCTTGCCAGGAGTCTGTTTAACCAGACCAGCGGTCCACCTAATCCAGCACCCTATTCCATGCATGGCCAACAAACCAGGCACAGAGGACAAGGTCTCCTCATGATCTTACCTCGCAGTACCGGGATTCCAGGACAGGTTGTCTCCAATGTTCCCTCTAAGCTGTGGGGTCTTGTGAGCGAAAATCCTACTTTGGGAGCTACCGGCATGAAAGTGGTGAGTTAGCGATTGGGCTGCTGCATAAATTAGTTTGCTCTGGAGCCCTCCTTCCTGACCGGAGATGAAAATGTGTGAGCCGGAGGCTAAACATCTGTGAGCTAGCTCACACTGACTCAGCTTAGAGGGAACACTGGTGTTCTCTGTTTTTGGAGGTCCCCTTTAGTCAGCCACTGATGGGCCTCTCTGTGAATCTGTCCAATCCCCCTTTTAAAGCTGCTACTTTTCAGTTGGAGTCCAGTGGCAGCATTGAAGAAGAAGAAGAAGAAGAGATTGGATTCATACCCCGCCCTTCACTTGGAGTCTCAGAGCGGCTTACAAACTCCTTTCCCTTCCCCTCCCCACAACAGACACCCTGTGAGGTGGGTGGGGCTGAGAGAGCTCTGACACAAACTGCTCTTTCAGGGACAGCTGTGCCAGAGCTTGTGACTGACCCAAGGTCACACCAGCAGCTGCACAGGGAAGAGTGGGGAATCAAACCCGGTTCTCCCAGATTAGAGTCCGTGCACTGAACCACTACACCAAACTGGCTCTCTTTGAGACCAACAAACTGGCTCTCATTGAGACCAACAAAGCTTAATTCTGGGTATAAGCTTTTGTGTGCGTGCACATGGAAGCCTATAAAATAAACTTTGTTGGTCGTAAAGGTCCCACTGGGCTCAAAACTTTGTTCTGTTGCTTCATACCAACACAGCTGCCCATCGAAATCTACTTTTCAGTTGGTTTCATCATGAAGAAACGCCAGTTTTCAGAGTTTGCCCAATTAAGATAAAAGATCCATCTCTTAGAGCAGTGGTGGCGAACCTATGGCACGGGTGCCAGAGGTGGCACTCAGAGCCCTCTCTGTGGGCACGCGTGCCATCACCTCAACCAGGCCCAGACCATCATTCAAGTGTCGCATTCTCTGACAAATAATTTTAAGTAAACGAAAGCACTTGGGATTGCTTCCCTTACTTTGTTTGGATCAACTTAAGTTAATGTACGAGTTGTTTTTTCTAAAGTAAAACCTCAGTATTCAAGTTAAATTGCCATGTTGGCACTTTTCGATAAATAAGTGGGTTTTGGGTCGCAGTTTGGGCACTCGGTCTCTAAAAGGTTCGCCATCACTGTCTTAGAGCCTTCTGGCTGGTTTAACAGTAGGGCTTCCCCCCTCAGGATCCCAAAAAACAGCAGCGCAGTAAGGATGTGGAAAACACACGCTTGTGAACACCTTAGCCAAACTGGTTCCTGGTGTGCGGTGCAGTTATTTTAACCAGCGCTCATATTAATTTGGGAAGAAAGCGTGAAAGCTCTTGGCCCTCCAGGTTTACTCAAGCATGGTGTAGAAGAGAATAGAGCAGAATACACCGTAGCTTGCTCCTGCCTTCCATCCTGGTGTTCATCATTTTACAACACTGTTCAGCAACAGGAAAGCATTGGGGAATAATCATAAGATATTGCAGCAGCCAGTTTGGGTTAAGGGATTACAAGGTAAAGGTTTCCCGTGCTCGAAAGCCAGTCGAATCTGACTCTAGGGCGGCGGTGCTCATCTCCGTTTCCAAGCTGAAGAGCCAGCGCTGTCCGAAGACGTTTCCGTGGTCATGTGGTCGGCATGACTAAACACCAAAGTGGTACCTATTTATCTACTTGCAATTTCTTGCTTTCGAACTGCTAGGTTGGCAGGAGCTGGAACTAGAGACGGGAGCTCACTCCGTCACGCGGCACACTCGGGTCTTCAACTGCCGAGCTACAGACCTTCTGGTCTGCAGCTCAGCGTCTTAAGGGATTATGGGGCCCTGCCACTGTGAATGCAGCCACTTTTTCAACAAGAACCTGATAACGCGGGGGTCCCCAAAGTGGGACTCATTGAGCGCCATGGGGCCAGTGGGGGGGCCAGGTGGGGAGGGGGTCTTACCCACCTGGGCTTCTGATTGGCCTCTGGAGATTCAATTTGCCATGCAGATTAAAATAAAGTTGTTTCAGCGGCAGGTGCCAGCCTGCCACGACTGCATTGGGTCTACTCACCCTCACTCCTCTTTCCCAGTGCATTTTATAAAGATTACCCGAGTTCTCCCCTGTAGTTGTGCGTCTTCTGTGTGCGTGGCTCCGCCTCCGGCGGCAGCCATTTTGTGGTTATGCCCAGCACCGTGTGTCAGAATTTCAAGGGTGCCTGCAGGCTCTGAAAGGTTGGGGATTCCTGCGATAACCCCACAAAACAAGCTATGCCAGTACCAAAAGCAGGGCTTTTTTTTGTAGAAAAAGCCCAGCAGGAACTCATTAGCTTAACAGGCCGCATCCAACAGCAGAAACTCATTAGCATACTAGGCCACACCCCTGACAGTGCAGCACATTAGCATATTAGGCCACACCCCCACACTCCCCAGCTTCAAGCCTGGGCAAGGCCCCCCCCCCTCGAAGGGAAGGCAGTTTAAACTGGCCCTTTGACAGGCCGGGGAAGGCATGGGGAGGCATTTAAAAGCCTCCCCAATCCTTCCAACCCCCCCCCCGGCCCGCCCGCCTTGGAGGCCTTCCCTATGTAGCCACGCATGGAGAGGTTTTGGCCTTAGTGGGCGTGGCCAACTCTGAAGCCAGCCGGAACTCCGTTCCTGTGCGCTCCTGCCCAAAAATAGCCCTGACCAAAAGTAATACTAATGAAGGGTTAAGAGCCTTATGAATTGTTTTACCAGCAGCTGACGTGTATCTTGAACCAGAATATCTCAATAAACCAAGGAACATGGGGATCAAAGGTTGCTTTTGCAGGGTTAGATTCAGAGCCAGGAGAGACTGTCTAAAAGTTTTAAAAAGTAAAATGCCTTTTCGTCTTGGTGCAGCGCTGAACACATGAAGCTGCATTCTACTGAATCGGTCCATCAAAGTCAGTATTGCCTACTCAGACTGGCAGCAGCTCTCCAGGGTCTCGGGGCTGGGGGTCTTTCACATCACACAATACCCGATCCCTTAAAGTGGAAATGCTGGAGACTGAACCAGGGACCTTCTGCATGCCAAGCAGCAGGGCTATTTTGGGGCAGGAACGCACAGGAACGGAGTTCCGGCTGGCTCCCGAGTTGGCCACGCCCAGCAGGAACTCATTAGCACAATAGGCCACACCCAGCAGCAGAAACTGATTAGGATTGGCTACATCAGGGGTGTGTGGCCTAACATGCAAAGGAGTTCCTGCTACAAAAAAAGCCCTGGGTTTTGACAACAAACAAGGTAAACAGAATAACAAGCAAAAGGTGGGTGTGGCTGGATGACCACATTTCTGGCAACATGGGGGTGCGGCCTAATGTGCCAATGAGCTGTGCTGTCAGGGGTGTGGCCCAATAGGCTAATGAGTTCCTGCTGTTGGGTGTGGCCTATTATGCTAATGAGTTCCTGCTGGGCTTTTTCTACAAAAAGAGCCCTGCCAGACACTCTGCCACTGAGCCACCGGCCCCTCTCCAGTACAACACAATGAGTTCATAAACCCACCTTACTCTGAGCCAGACCATCAGTCCATCAAGGCCAGTATTGCCCACTCAGACTGGCAGCGGCTCTCTCAGGCGGAGGCCCCTTCACTTCACCTACTGCCAGACCTTTTTTTAACAGGAGATGCCAGGGATTGAACCTGGGACCTGCCTGCCTGCAAAGCAAACGCTCCTCCACTGAGCCACAACGTCCCTGCTCAGAATCCCCGTCTCCTGCAGCAGTTCTAAAGCACCCCAAACTGCCAGTCCACGCGACAGGTCCATCCAGCCAAGCATCGCCCGCTCGGGCTGGCAGGCGCTGGAGCTGGAAACTCCCCCCCCCCCCAACCGCTCTCC